TGGCGGCCCTCTCCATCTAGGCCGACCTGTGTGTCTTCCACCCAGACCGTGTTGTTCTCCGCATTGACCCGACCTTTGTTCCGAAGGTGAATTCAGCATTCCATCGTTCTCTGGATCTCACCCTTCCAAATTTCTGCCCGGCTCCATCTCACAGTGTGGAGCGCAAATTGCACAAACTAGACATCAGGCATGCCCTTAAAACGTACATCACCAAGATGGCTGCCTTCAGACGCAGCAAAGACCTCTTTGTGTCCTTTCATCCGACCAACAAGGGCCTAAAAACTTCTCCTTCCATGATTCCACGTTGAATCAAATCAGCCATTGCGCAAACTTACATCGTGCATCATCTCCCTCCTTCACAACTCATTCTATGTGCAGTGCAGCCACATCAGCGGCATGGGCGTGACAGGCCTCGGTGGAGGAGATCTGTAAGGCAGCGACCTGGGCTACTCCTAATTCCCTTATCAGACATTACAAGCTAGATAGGTATGCATCAGCTGATGCAGCCTTTGGATGGCGAGTGCTCCAACAGGTCCTTCCGTCCTCCAGCTCCTAGGCCAGTCTCATGCCCTCCCGGGGACACGCCAGTTTTGGTAGGTCCCATGCATAATCGCTGTCTCCACCAACGTAGGAGAATGGGGCGTTGGTTCTTACCTGATACGCCCCTTCTCTGGGCAGGTGGAGACAGCGGTCATCCCCACCCTAGCATTCTGGCCTACCATGCAGGGGTGTACAGTGAGCATTTTTGGTTGAGTCCAGAGAGAAAGCGATTGGTCACACACAGCAGTCTACTAATCTCCTGCGTCAGGAAAAGCGGGAGCATGCCCCGCAGAGCCAATGACATCACTTTGGTAGACTCAGTTCTATTGGTTACTGACTGAGTTAACCCATGCATGACCGCTGTCTCCACCTGCCCAGAGAAGGGGCGTATCAGGTAAGAACCAACGCCCCAATTTATTTATGTAACTAAATATTTAAAATTATCTGCCCTCACTTGATACAATTCTTTAATTGCTGGATCTGAATTTGCTTTTTTTGTTTTGTTTTAGGTGTATGTACACATACATTTTATCACACAAGTATATGCACCCATTACTACAGTGGACTTGTGGTTAGCTTATGCCAGTCTTCTCTGTACGCTCCAGATATGTTTGAACTATAAGTTCAAAATTTCCAGCCATCATAGTTGAGGAAAATTGTAGTTCTAACTCTTGAAATTTAAGCTACCTTATGTCACAACAAATTGTTCACTTAATATGATTTGTAAAAAACTCTTAAGTTTGCTGAAGTCACATCATACTTGTATCAGAAGCATCAAGGCTCTTACGAGTTCAAAGAATTAGATGGTGACATCACTGTTGCCCAGGGACACCCAATAGGGGGGTCCTTTCATGTCCCAACTGGCATAAAAAACAGGAACTCATCCCTTCCCATGGCAGCATTCTGGTCTTGCACACTGTTTGCTAACCTCCAACCCAGTGTCTGAACCATTTGATCAACTATACTTCCTGTTTGTTTGTTGAAATAAAACAGCAGAACTACCAAGAGTGAAATCATGCCTACTTTATATATGATCCTTCCAAACTGTTGAGAACTTGAACAAATTAATAATTGTATAAACTTGTTTTTGTGCTCCTATAATTTTTGGATAATAAAATTCAAATTCATATTTGTAGTTAACCTTTCTTTTGTTTAATATGAGATCAAAACAACAAATCACTAGAAGGTCCATTAATTGTATCTGTTTCATACAGTAATGTATTTTTCTATAACCAGGATTTAGATTGTTTATAGTTGAATGGTGCTATTTTACATACCTTTTGCATTTATTATAGCTTACATGGCTACTTCCCAATTTAAAATAATTAAAATGAGTTCATCCTCAGAGTGATAGAAGAAGAAGTTTGCAACGGGCAATCTTTTGACTTCTAGTTTTTGCAATAAACAATGTTCTGCAAAGAATTATAAAAATGGAAAAATGAATGTGCATATTTTTCTTAAACTTGATTGGATAGTTATTAGCTTTCCAATATACGTTTCATCAATCTTACATTTGGATTTCATTTATTTGAAAACATGCATTTTTGTTAAATCATAATTTTTGACAAATTATTACCTCATTTTCTTTAGATCCAAGTTTCAAATGCATATTGGGTGTGAGAACTTCCCTTGGCTCTTTTTCCTTTTTGCTCATCATCCATTGTTTTTCTCACTTTACTGAAAGCTCACATTCAGCATTCAAAAGATGTTAAAATAAAATGCTGATTACAATGTTTGCAAGTCCAATTCTGTTTTCTCTTGCACTTTGGATGGCAATAGAAAATTTCTCCTAAGATAATATTTAATGCTGATTAAAACAAGTTGTGGAAGCCAGATTTGTGGGAGTGAAAATAAGAAAATGATTTTTTAATCAACCTTTATTTCTTTCTGAAATTTTAAAAAAAATTGACAGGATATTCTGGCTGAATTAGAATACATTTTCTTAAAAATCAAATAAATTCAATGCTGTGAAATAATGGAAAACAGTAAAATAAGATGCTATAATTTATATTACTTGTATTGCTCTGTATATACATTTATATTCTAAGGGCCACTGAAAGTTTAATGAGATTCTGGATTGTCACAAAGAAACTAAAAACATTTCTGATTTGTTCTTGATAGTATGAATCGGATGAACAAGAAAAGAGCGCTTATCAAGAATATGATAGTGACAGTGATGTTCCTGAA